TATGCCTGGGATGAGAGGAAGAGGAATGCCAAAGAGAAGATGGATGCAGTATGTGGCGGATGATCTCCCGATGGGTGTATCGGACGCAGGACATCTTGCTTGTGATCGAGAAGTTTCCGAGGGGTTGTTATGGGAGCAAGGTTCTGCAAAGGACATGTTACTGACTGACTGACTGACTGACTGACTGACTGACTGACTGACTGACTGACTGACTGACTGACTGATACTTTAAGAATTTTGAGTTTAGCTGGTACATTTTAAAACAGTGGAAGCATGAGGGCTTTATCTAGCTGGTATATTTTATGTGAGGGAGGATGGCTCAGCCAACCTTCTTGTTCCTTCTGGGTCAAGGAAGTGCACCCAGACGAAGAGGGACACAAACCTCTTACTGTCTTGCAGGTAGACTGTAAACAGTCAAAACTGAGCCACCCACTTGATGAAGCAGTGCACTGTAACTCGCTTCTCTTTGGTGATTTGGTCATGTATTTCGAATTTTGTGTTTCTTTCCCAATAGTTGACGAATCTGAAGAGCTATGAAGAGAACCTGGCAAGAATAGAAGCAGGAGAACAACAAAAGGCGCAGACACAAGATGTCGCTGCTGTAAGTTGTCTTACGTTTAGATACGCATGCTTTCTTTCATTAATGAACAGGCAGACATACTAGGTGATACTGAATCAGTGGGGGTGAATTTATCTATGTGCCTTATGCAGTAGTGTGTGTGTGCACCTGCTGGTTGACTGTGACTGCTGCTTCCTTCAACTGAATAGCAATTGTAAGTGTTGGCACCTCTGGCAACTGCCTTATGCATTTGCTGATTGTGCAAGCTGTTGGATTTTGCCAGGACTGCTGTTTGTTCCCTTTTTCTCAGGGGTCTGCAATGGGAATTCCTGGGGTACTCACTGGCACAGGAAACGGAGCAGTAATAAATTTGGAACTCCTAGCTGGAAGATTAATGCAACATTGAGTTGTTTCTGGGGCATATTCCTTCCCTTCATCATCAAGCTTTCTAGTCCTAGTTCATCAGTAAAAGTTACGTGAAGGACTCATTTCACTCCAGTGACGTGTCGGACATATGATATATTTATAGACCAATCATCACTTCATGGGTGATGTGGTCAGCCTCTCGCTCGCCAACTCTACTTCCTAGAGTATTACTTGGTATCCATTTTGTCAGATCAACTGGCACCACGGACATAATTGTCATTAATAGAGTATTAGGTAAAAAATGAAACCAAATCTGGCATCTACAGGAACCAAATTAGGGAACTGGAAATCGTTTGTTGAAGTCATCAATGAAGATGACATTGACTTTAATAGCTCAGAAAATAGGAAACAAACCTAATCCTCAGTCATTGCTAAACCCCTTACTAATCTTCTTCCCCCCCCCCCCCCCCCTTTTCCATTCTTGCTTTTCTGTTCAACACTGATGCACAAATGTACATCTTTCAAAACAACTCTAACTTAGTCTATGACACTGACCTTTGAAGTTTATATCATATAAACCTTTGATGTTGATTTGATCAACAGACTGACATCATGGAAGTGTGTCCCAACCCATTACTTCTGGCTCAACAGTTAACCCATGTGGAACTAGTAAGTATGTTAGTCTCTGTCCTGAGCAACAAATACTGAACAGAGTTGTGTTTATTTGTTTCATGTCATATTTGGTGTATAAATTTTTGTATATTATTAATGATGTGCAAACTGTTTGTGTGGATCTTTTATTTGTGTGTGTGTGTTTGTGTGGAGGAAACCAATTGACCAACTGCACTTAATAAACATGACATAAAAAGTGACTAATTAAGGGGTTTGATTAAATCAGGTTTTTAGACAGAAGGAGGCAGATATCAGAGCCCAGCTGTAAGCCAAAGCACAACATGCCACCTGGCTTTTTAAGAAGAACAAAGAAATCAGTATTTTTGGGTAACTGGATAGAACAAGTTGGACACTTCTGCACCTCTGCTAGCTAAGATGGAAGACCACTGTAATATAGAAAATAGAAACTATACCCATATGCTCCCATTCTATGATAAGTACATTTAGAAAGTTCAATTTATAAGTCCATGCTGTGAAAAATATACATAGAAATGGGGGACTATATGTGTCGATATTTTGATTAACTCATATAGAAACTAAAATACATATCATACTGAGAAGGTGTTTCCAAGAAAACTGACAAACGTCATCGTGGACAATGTTATAATACCCACAGGAGAAGGCGGAACATTTTATAATGATAAATGAATCTAAACACAGGTTGCCATGACAGTAGTGTCAATATAATTTTGCTAATCATCCCGGGATCAGATTTCATACTGCTCTCTTCCAGTCTGTACCCTGGCACATATATATTTTTAGTCCTTAGCACAGCAATTACTAATTTTTGTAAGCTGTGAGCCCATTTTAGAGAGGTAAAGTGACCTATGACACCATACATTAAAAGTAGGTATTTTAACAAAGTAAATGAAAACACATCGTAATGTTTGTTTTCCCACTTAAACAAATTTTCATGGCTCATCACTGTCTGGCAACACCCTAGCAAACCTGAGACTTGGTAACTTGGGCCTAAATGTACATATATATTTTTTGGCTCACAATAAAGAAAAGATAGGCTTGCCTGCTAATCTTGCTATCCAGTATTGAGATTTCCCTTGAGTTGAAGTACTGATTTTCATTAACATGGCTCCCAGTCTGCCGTGAAGATCTCTGGGAAGTAAAGATGACCATATTATCCATCCTTCTTGATACAAGAGCATCAAAGGCAAGAAAGAGAATAAAACAGACAGTAATAGCAGCATATTTAATTAATTGCATCAAATATTAATTACATGGAAATTGGCTTTTATTACAGGAAAGATTGAGTGTGATTGGCCCTGAAGAGTTTGTTCAAGCTTTCTGCAAAGAAAGAGTTGCACCAGATGTAAGTTATTTTTCTTTTTGTTTGTATTTGTGTTGCAGTGTTTCCTTGTTTTGTTTTGTTTAGAATGATAACACATAAATTTGAGCTGCTTTGAATAATAGTAAGGGAAGCAATCCAAAATATTAATACAAGTCAATGTTTTTTTAAAAATTCTTTTTTATTTGCTTTTCAAATCTTGAATCGTTTATGGGATGCAGAAATGCTAAATGATGCTTGCCTTAGCAGCAAGACCATAGCTTCTGCTGGTCAAAACCTGTCGACATCCCTCCGCTGTTGAACTAGAAACAGGTTCCAAACCGTGAGCCTGGCCGATGTAGATAGGATCGACAGTTCTTTTAAAGTCATTGTATACCTGCATGAGAGCAGAGGAACAAACAGTCTACAGACAGAGAAGCCACATCTCTAATAAATTAAACAAACAGTCTAGAAGTACATGAAGAGCCAATACTTTAAACAAGAGTTCACACTCAGTGCGCAAAGAAGAAGAAGATGAAGAATGAATCTTTTGTGAACTTCATTGTTTCCAAGTCTGTTGAGAGGGGAACAGGTATATTTTCATTTCTAAACCTTTCTTGAATTCATTTCATAAATTGTTCTTTGACATAAATGGTATATGTTACAATCTATTTTATAACTTTGACATGAATATGATATGCAAATATCTATGAATAATTTCAGGGGGTCAGCTATCAGGACATGAAGACCACACATAACCTGGAGTCATACGTGCAATGGTTTAATCGGCTGAGTTACCTAGTGGCTTCTGAAATCACATCTGTAAGTACTTGTAAATATTACCTGATTTCTGATTGATTATGAAATAAGCCATTGAATAATTTTTCTGAATCACTTTGGCTAGGCTAGCAAGCTTACTTGACAGCTGCATGATATTTTTCTACATGGAAACTTTTTGTTTACTGATCTAGCATAAAACTAACACAAGGAACTTATCCGAGCACCAATGGCAGTTGGTGAAAAAGAATGAACAGGTATTGACATCTGGTAGCTGGGACATTCCTCCACATGGTCCATGTTCTTCCACATTAGCCAATGAAGAGTTCCCATGCTAATTGAGCCAGGTGCCATCTGATTAAAAGTCCTCCTATGTTTTCCCTTTGTCAGTGAATATCGCCCAGAACCCTCGCTTCCTTCCCTCCCTGACTGAATTAATCTTTCAAGGTATGGATACTGTCTGTTGAGTCTGCTTGATCCCAGAGACCTGTCCTCATGTCCGCTTTATCATAGGTAGCTGGTATTGTGTTGTCAACATTGCCCATGAGGAGCTGAATGCTTTTACAATACATGCCAGTACCATAACTCCAGTATAGATCATTTTGCTTACTTGATTGTGGAAAGGGTTGAGTTGAGTCAAGAATTGACATCACAGCATTCCATGCATAATGCGTCCTCATCTTCAGCAGCCAGCACAGAGTTCCAGTACTGATGGTACCAGTCACAATCTGGTTATATGTCTGTCTTGCCTTTTCTCTGAGTGTAGTGAGCCGGCCAGACCCTCTGGTTACACCCAGGTGCCTCATTCTCTCCAGGCCATAATAATCTTGTTTTACTGATTCCGTTGCTTGTTCCCAAAGGGCCTTGACCACATTTGCCTTGTCATGTATCACTTCCCTACCCAGTAGTGCAGATCCAGCCAATCTGTCTGTCTGTTCATTACCCACTACGCCGTCATGACCTGGAGAAAAGATTATTGTGGAAAGAGAACTACAATAAATTCTAAAGAGAACTTAAACAAAGAAATATTAAATTGTTTTATTTCACTTGCTGCTATTTCTTGTATGGGTTCTGCTTACCCATTTCAAGGCGATTTGTGTGGGTTCTGCTTACCCATTTCAAGGCGATTTGTGTGGGTTCTGCTTACCCATTTCAAGGCGTGTTGTGTGGGTTCTGCTTACCCATTTCAAGGCCACTTGTGTGGGTTCTGCTTACCCATTTCAAGGCCACTTGTGTGGGTTCTGCTTGCCCATTTCAAGGCGATAAAGAAAAGACCCACTGCCTTCTCAGCAAACATGTTGTAAGAGGTGACTATTTAAGGTTTTGCTGAAATCAGAATGTGTTGGGCTGAAAGGTGCGTATATCGCAACCTAGCTGTAAACACAAAAAAAAACACCACAAGTTAGTGACCCCCTTTCATGATGAATGCAGAAGAAAAAGATCAAGAAGAATTCCTGTTTAATTTGAAAAATATGCATTAAGATGATGAATTGTCAAAAAATTGAGTATATTATTTTACTCTTTGCAGCACTTGAAGAAAAAGAATCGAGTCAAAGTTGTGGAGTATTTCATTGATGTTGCTAAAGAATGTATCAATATTGGCAATTTCAACTCACTGATGGCCATCATTGCAGGCATGAATCTCAGTCCTGTCACAAGGTTAAAGAAAATGGTGAGTTGTACAGCTTACCTGAGTTTTTATGTTCAGTTTGTTTTCTTGTTCTTCCTCTTCTGTTCTTTATCCTTTTTATGTTCAGTTTGTTTTCTTGTTCTTCCTCTTCTGTTCTTTATCCTTTTTTGGGGATATAAAACTTTAAACAGTGCCAGCTTATGGAAAGGCACTGCAGAACTCCAGCACCCCATGTTTTCACTCACTGTTTTACCCACGAACCACCACTGCCTGTAGACCAGTTCACCTATCTTGTGTCTACCCTATTGTGTACATACAATTGTAGGTCTCATTACAGGCATGCACTTTATTCTATGGTATTTGCATTTATGCTTTCCCATAGATCTGGTCTTTGCTGTTGTGCAAGAAAGCTATCAATGGTATTTCCCCCTCCCCCATGTCACTATCTTAAATCTTCAGCATTTTTTCTGTGTGTCTTCTGCTTCACCATTTTGAAAATATAGTTTGTTCGTTCATTTCTTCTCCTGTCTCTGTCCTTTCCTAGCATAATTATATTCCCAAACCCTCTTTTGTTGTCACATAACCAAAAAAAGTCTCTTTCTTACATTAACTCTTTGAGTTCCAGAGGGTTTAGCATCACAAGCCCAAGGTGTAGTAAAAAAAAACTTAAAATCGACGCATTATGCGTTCACTAAGTTTCTGGGAATTCCAAAGAAATTTGACTGAAAAGCTTAACAAAATGGGGAAGCAGAAAAACGTGCAGGTTGAAAAAGGTTTCTAGGTATGAATCTTTGAATATATGATGTGTTCCTTGGGACTCAAAGAGTTAAACAGATTATAAACTTCATTGATGCTTCTCACCCTTCATTCCCCTCTGTTTGCATCTTTGATTGGGCCAGAAATTTGTCATAAAATTCTGTTTACACCCAATGTGGTAGTGATGTCAGATGGGTGGTTTCCTTGTTTTTATTTCCACTTTGGCAGTCCAGGTCAAAGAATTCACACCAGAAACCACACACTTTCAACTGAATACTTTTACTGACATTGAAGTTCCTGTGTGGATTCTGCGATCCCATTGTGAGGAATAACAAGAACAAACGTACTGCCCCCAAACAAGCATGTCGTAAGCATCGACTAATTAGGGATGTTTCCTTCAAAGTCGGAGTGCATCTGTCTGAGATGTGAGGAACCAACAGTCTGCATACATATAAGCCTGATATGTAAAACAGATGTGCACATAAAACTCAGTTCTGCAACAAGGTTAAAGTCCAGAAGTGGATGAAAAACCAGAACTTTCTGCCGGAGTTTACAGCTGGTGAATGTGAAGATGAAAAAGAAGAAGAAGAACAAGACGATTTAAAAAAAATTAATTTTTAAAAGAGAGCCCTATTTCTATAAGAAAATATACGAACAGAATCAAGCATTGACACTGTAGTGCTCTTGTAATCACAATCTATTGCTTCTTTACTTTACTCATGATGTTTTTTTGTTTTTCTTCGCAGTGGTCAAAGGTCAACAGAGACAAGTTAAGAATTCTTGAGGTGGGTTTGTCATGTCTTGTGCATTTTATAAATTGTAGGATGTCTGTTTTTGACTTGCGCTCACACATGTACATGTGCAAACAAACAAACACACACACAATAATATATATATATATTGTTTTTTGTCAGTGTTTTTTGTTCTATAAAAAATTTGCAAGTACTCAAAAGAGCTAAAAAAAGATTCTGGCACTCACCACACAGTGTTTATTACAATAGCGCGGAAAAGCTAGTGCTTTAAAACAAAAGTTATGCACTACCACAAAGTACTGCCAGAAAAACAAGCTATGCATTTACATATGAAACATACATGTGATGAAATCATTTTCTAATTTATTTCCCTGCTTTGATTGAATCATTTTTGTTAAAATTTTGGCACGATTCATTCACTATTTCTTGTTTTGCCATGATTAAATCATGATTTTTTTCTGTTGGTATATCTGAAGAATGATTTCTTTTGATTGTAATATTTTAACCATCGTCAATTCTATTGGAATAAATGTAAAGTAACTTTAAATTCGTTAAGATATTCTTTTTCTTCTTCTTCTTCTTTTTCTTCTTCTTTTTCTTTTTTTTTCTTCCTATTTTTCTGCTGTTGCGTTTAAAAGGGAAGCTGGCATATTGGGTTGTCATTTACAGCTAGGCTATGATATCTGCACCTTTCAGCCAAACACATTCATTTTCACAAACAATTAATTAGTCACATTTTGTGTCACGCTTGGGTGGGGGAGGGTGGGTGGATTTATTAATTTTCCTCTAAAACTGAGCCTTGAAACTCACACATTGAGTTGAGATAAGATTACTTTCTATGAGTGGTACAACTCATGAAAGTCACCCCATCTCATCGGTCGTGTTATTTCATTAAGGATTTCCTGGGACACTCCTGTAGGGCAGGAATGTCCTAGTTTTGATAGTTTTAGGTACATCGACTGCGACAGCCACTGTAACGTGATTAAAAATACAAAAACATCAATGATTCAATACTCACGAACCGTCGTGCCTTTGGTGCTTTCCCTGCAGTACTTCTTCCTTGCATACAGGTGCCTTTGTCACCTGAGACCTACTCACAACAACAACACATTCTAAGAAACAACAGAAAAGAGAGCTGTGAAAAGAAAGCTGTGCAGTTTCATCTGGGAGACAGTATGTTGACCTTACTGAACAAACCCAAGCACCTTTGTGGCATGCTGTGTATAAACAGCAAAAGAATACATCTCATAACACTCCTAAAACATAGGGCACCCCATGGGGACTGCTAAGCAATTTTGCCACCAACGAGATGTGGGTGACTTTCATGAGTAGTGACTAATGACCTGCTTTGAACAATTCAGAACCTTTATGATGTATTTATAGACAAATTCTTTCCTATTGTCCCCAGCACCAGATGAACCCCAGCAACAACTTTGGCAGTTACAGATCCTGTCTGAAGGCTGCCATGTGGAGGTCAGAAGGTGCTGCTGATGACAGAGAGAAGGTATGCTCAATGATTTTCATTTCCCCTCTTCTTTCTCTTCTTTCCTCTTTTCGAGTCTGATAACATAATTATAATACTTATGAAAATATGTGATATCTTGTTTTCTTTGTGTTCCCTGGCTTCAAACTCAGGCAGAAAGTTCTGGTTGTTTGTCCACTTCTGGCCTTTGGTCCTGCTCCAGAATTTGAGTTGTGCATGAACTTCTGTTTTATAGATCTGGCTAATTTGCATGCATACTTTTGGCTCCTTGTCTCTCAGTCAGATGTACACTGATTTCTAAGATACATCACTAATTTGTTGTCTTGTAGAACATGCACATTAGGTGGAGCCATGGCTCTAATTCTTTTTTTCTTAACCCCCTCTCCCCCTTTCCCAATCCTCAAATGGGGTCCTGGAAACCATATGGGCAAAATCTTTGGTATGACATGCTGTTGACATGATGACACATATGACATGTTGATTAGTACACAGGAGAAATATACATTTGTGCTGTCTCTTCAGTGATGCCTGGCTGCAATGTGTCCATAGCTGACTGTGGATATTACCTGGTGAGAGGCCAATCACCTCCATGTTGTGGAGAAACCGTCTTTACCACAGTCTGATAGCTTAAAGAATGGATTTTTGAAATCTAAAGCTATTTCTCTTTCTTCTTCTCTTCTTCCAAAGCCACTTTCTCTTACTTCTTACTGTTCTTTAGCCAAAAAACACATGATTTCAAGAATAAACTTTATTTATTTATTTATTTTGCAGATCGTCATTCCATTCTTTAGCTTGTTTGTCAAAGACTTGTACTTCCTGAATGAAGGATGCTCCAGTAAAAAGGAAGATGGCTCAATCAACTTCCATAAATGTTGGCAGACAGCAAAGCAGATCTCTGACCTTCTGGCATGGCAACAGGTGGAGGTAAGCAACACAAAAAATATCAACTATTTTAGAATTAAGTGAGTTAAAGTAGACCAAAATGGAAGTTGAGGGGTGATATCCAGGCATACCTATAAATGTAGTAGCTACACACTCACTTGTAAATCAGAATGTTGAGTGCCCGAGCCTGGCGGAACGGGGCTTTCTTAAAAAAAATGACCTTGGATCCCATGTCAACCCAGCCTTGAGTGGGTTTGAGGTGCAGCCCTGGGAAGTAAAAGCGGCTGGCATAATGTTGGCCACATCCCCCACCAAGTGCCAATTGGTCTATAAAATATAAGTCTAGCCCTGTATGCCCAATATGCCTAAAGATATGCTTTAGCTTACTTTTTACAAACCTACAAACACTGGACGTCACCAACTGGAATAAAAGGGGCAGTCATAGTGATAAACAGAAATGACTGAAACTAGAATAATGAACCTCAAAGGCTTGGAATGCTGAAGAAGAAGAAAAAATTGAACAAAAATTGTCTACACAACAGATTTGGATAGAAGTAGACCACTAAGAAAGCCATTGAGAGATAATATACAGGCAGACCCACAAACCCTCGGAGTCACCGACTGGAAAGAGTAGGCCAGTCATAGAGATGAAGGTAAATGGGTAATAGCTACAATTTTGAACCTCAAGGTCTCTGAATGCTAAAGAAAAAAAAATAAGAATGAATGAATGAATGAATGAATGAATGAATGAATGAATGAACAAATGAACGAAAGAATGAACGAATGAACAAATGAATGAATGAGAAGCTGTAGCAGCTCCTGCAAAGGAGGTACAGTGGCTAATATCCTTATCAAGGTTCTTTTTTCCTGACCTGATTTGCCAGAAGGCCACAGTGAGTATCATGAAATTTTATTGGAAGTAAAAATGGCTGATCTGATTTTGGCCACCATTTCTGTTAGATGCCAATTGCTCTATACAGACGGATCCGTTATACGCCAAAGAAGAAGCGCATGGGCATTTACAGCACGCTCAGCAGGCAGAACAGTCAAAGAAGCCAACGGCGTATTCTCCATGACAACCAGCAGCATGACGATGGAGGTGATGGCAGTGACACAAGCGCTTGCCTGGCTTGAAACACAAAAATACACCCGCGTGTGTATACTCAGTGATTCAATGAGTATGATCCGGAGGGTTCAGGCAGGTTCAGTGCGAAGACAATGGCTTGAATCATTACAGAAGTCCACTGTTCGTGGAGTCACCTTTATTTTTGTTCCGGGAAACGCAGGCGTCGATGGAAATGAAAGAGCTGACAGGCTGGCTGGATCCGCTATCACTACCGACGGTCAGCCTATGGATCATGCTGATATAATCAATGCCCTCAGAGAAATGGGAAGAATAGAGGACTTTGGTGGCAGTGAATCCACATCACTCGCCAGAATGGCAGACTTGGGAATTAAGATCGGCACAGCAAAAAACGAGACGCACACCAGCTACGCCAGAAGACTTGTTAATCAACATAGAACTGGTACTATTAGCCATCGGACGTTGGGGTTCATACTGAGGGGAGGATCTGAGCACCTATGGACATGTCCGGAGTGCAATGAGGATAACCCAACTAACTAACTAACTAACTAACTAACTGCTCTATACAGCTAAGGGTCTAGCACTGTGTGCCCTGTATGTATCAAAGTATGGCAATGGACCTTTTTTTTTCCCTACAGTTATGCGATATGTGAGTTTGTGCGTAAATAATGTTTTATTTCTAGCGCTCAAATTTATTTGTGATACTGTGTTGAAATTTCATATTTTCAGTTAACAGAAAAATAAGCATTGCTATTACTGCACTGTCAAATAACAAGAATAAATTTTTCTTTTATTGCAGTGTCCATTTGACAAATGTCCATCCATTATAAATTACCTTCTTACAACACCCATCTACAATGAATCCAGTAAGTATAAATGTATATTTTCTTTCTTTATTTCATTCTTTCTTTTCTGTTTTTTTTATATTTTTTAAATAAAATTGGAAATTGACATCATAAATTTAATATCTCTAAGCATTTGTTTAGTTCCTTCTCTTGCTCTTTAGGACATCAACCTCATTCTCAAGTGGGTAATCATTCTTCTACACCCCCCCCCCCCCTACCATTTCCCCTTGTTGTTGAATGAGTTGACTAATTAGGAGCTTCCTTTCAAGTCAGAGTGCATTTGCCTGAGAGACAACAAAAAAAAAAAAAAAACCAACAGTCTGCACACAAATAAGCCAGATCTGTAAAACCGATGTGGATGCAAAACTCAAGTTCTGGAACACAACTAAAGTCCTAGAGGTGGACGTATACCAAGAACATTTTGTTTGAGTTTACAGCTGGTGAACACAAAGATAATGATTCTTCTAAACATTTCTAGCTGCATTTTTATCGCTTCCTATGGTGGGGTCACATGCTGGTTTGTCATGAATGTTGCTTCCATCAACTATAAATTGTAATTCTAGTGGCAGGCTGTTGGTGTTGGCACTGCTGGGGGTTGCATTATGCATTTGACGCCTGTATGAGCTGTTGGATTTTGTAGGGACTGCTGTCTTTTTGACTTTTCACAGTGAACATTGATGGGTGATCTCTATAGCTTTCTCAAGCACAGAAATGGAGCAGTTATGAAGTGACTTGTTTGAAATTAAGCTGGAACCCTGATGGACAGACTTGCAAGCCATGACAAGAGACAGTCAACAATTCTCTCTTGTTGTCTTTTTCAGTCTCTGTTTCCATAAATCTTTCCATTTGTGAGACCATTTCTTTCTTTTCATAACATGGCCACAACAGGCCTCATTAGGAAAAGTTACTGTCATGCCTTAATCTCTTTCAGAACACTTAAGATAATAATTTTGGCTGGTCAAGGAAATGTAAGCATATTTTTGTAAAACCACAAACAGAGACTGAATCTGATAAATAAATACACTGACATTGATTGCCACACACGGATAAGACAAACGAACAGAAAATATCATGACAGACTGAACAAAATGTAAAAGAAAAAAGATTAAAGTTGCAGGTAATTGGGGATTTAATTTTATCATTCCTTAATTCTAGAACAATATCTACAAAAGTTGGATAAATATTCTGGAAGAAAGTTATATAAATTTACACCAAAACACTTGAATAATGTCTCCCCCCCCCCTCCACAATGGGGCCCCGTAACACACACACGGATCACTGTTTACATGTAATGAAATTGTGTTAAAATGTAATGTAACTGTGTTCGTTCAAATGCTAGGTAACTGTGTTTTTAAATGTAATCTGTGTTCCAGTGTAACTAAGAAAAGTAAATTTTTCTGTAACTGTGAATTTAATTGTCCATATGATGTTTCAGTGTTGTCGATGGCTTCATATGAATGTGAAGCTCCAGAAACCAGCTATGACAAGGAGAAATACAAGCAGCTCAAGTAAGTTCTCATAATTTTTAAAATGAGAATGTTGAATGTTGAATTAAGAATCTGCATCACAGCAATCAGGACACTCCCCGATAAGCTCTCCGTCCCTATCTTCAGCAGCAAGCAAAGAGTTCCAATTCTGATGGCACCAGTGACTGTCTGATTGTATATCCGTCTGGCCTTTTTCCTGAGTGTTGATTTCCTTGCATCGCGCCATTCTCCTCAGACCATAATGATCTATCTGTGTCTCCACACTGTTCAATCACTCCCAAAGAGCCCTCACAACATCCAGCTTGTCAAAGCAAGAAGTAAACTTCTTCTTCTTCTTTCCTCCACTCCTGGAATGCCTCGCAGCGCCAGGACAGGAAGAGATCTCTGGAACTGGCCCTTCTGGTGCTTCGTATATAATACTTTTCAGCGTCTCTGATATTTCTGTGTCCATCTTCTGCGTGGTTGACCTTTGGATCTGTTACCGTTGTTTCTGTATAGCATTGATCTCTGTCTGATGCAAATAAGAAAACTAACTGGTTATAATTTGAGAAGGCAGGATAATTTGTAAAATGTTGCCTTTATGAGACACTAGGACTACAAGTAAATGGGCTTAGCTGTTGCTGGGAGTCCTATTAACTCTTTCTTTGTCAGACAAAGCTGTGCAATCTTCTGACACTCAGAGTTAATGCAACTGACAATATAAAATGACATAGCTCAGCGTTAGCACTTCAACCTGGATAACACTATAACAAAATTAGATTTCCATTAAGAAATTCTTTAAAACAAAATGACAACAATTTTACACAGATTACTAATAGATTAATTTAAAATGTATTTTTCCACATTTTAAAATTGTTTTTAAAAAATATAAAAAGATATATGAATGGAGCAACTACTTAACATGAACTGTGTGAAGCATTAAATGGAATGAAGAAACATCTGAAGAAACAACAAATAATGCCATATTACATTTATTCCTGTTGTGTGAATATAATTAGTGAATACTTCATGAATAAAATCCTAATGGTAATGTTGCAGATAATGTTATTTTGGGTGGGAAGTTTGAGACTTTCATGTTCTCTTGAACAGTGGTTCTCAGTTAACTAGGGCCTGAGGATGCCTTTTATTTTGAAGTTCTGTCAGGGACTCCCAAACTTTTTAATTGTCACATTGAAAAGCTACAGCGAGGGTCTTTAACTGTAATCCCAGACTGTTAACCAAGATTGTGTATAGATACTTTTAGTAAATGATATCAAAGATCGAATACATTTGTTCTGCAGACACCTGGGAGTTTACAGACCATGAAATTAGAACTGCTGTTCAATGCTATAACATGAAGAAATGAGGTTACCAGTTTCCTTCATACATTTGTCTTCCTTTAACCTTGTCCCCCAAGAAGCAGCAAAAGCAACATTTCTGGCTGGGTCCAATTCCTTGTCACTTTACCAACTTGTCTGGAGTGATGTGTTCATGAGATGCATAGTTAATGCTATTGGCAGAGTTTTTCCCTGCTCAGCCTTTATAAAGTCAGGTTATGAATATAGTTACTCAAATGGTAAACTTTTATAAAGCTAAGTTGACCTCATTAATTTCCCATATCCTTAGTGATAGAGGTCATGACATGAGTCAAGCAGTGTATATATTTCTTTTTAGAACTGAAGAATATTTTCCATGTAATGCTTCATTCTGCTCATGCTGATTGATTGCTCCTTTTATAGTATAGTATAGTATTATATACTTCTGGAAAATTGTAAAAATATAGATAAATATTTTTCTTTTCAAATTTATTGGTGATCTTTGTAAAATTGCTTTCTAAACTAAATTTTTTTTATTTTTATTTTGGTCTAAAATTCTAATGGAATTAGGACTCAAATTGGTTTTAGTGTTCATGCGGTCAAAATGTTAAAGATAATTCTGATTAAATGCTTCATGAATATATCAGGTACACATCATAATTAGTACAATCTTCAGTAGTCCACACATTTGCAGCTTTCGTGAGCATGTCGAATTGTGTCAATATAAGTATTGAAACTCTTCATCAGCACTTCATGTAGTTCAAATTGTATGTATGTGTGTTTATGTAGATACATTACAATATTTATACTTCACATGAATATTTGATTAAGAATCAACATCATAGCACTCAGGACACAATCTGCAGCAGGAAGCGTAGAGTTCCAATTCTGATGGTACCAGTAACTGTCTGTTTGTATATCTTTCTCCCCCTTCCCTTGAGTGCTGAACAACGGCCAGATTCCCTGGAGCTTCCCTGAGCGTCTTTCTCCTCAGAGTATATTCATCTTTATTTGCCTGTGCACTGTTCACTCTCTCCCAAACAGCCCTCACAACATCTAGCTTGTCATACATCAGTTCACCACCAAGCGGTGCAGAACCGACCAGTCTATCTGCCTGCTCATTTTCGAACACACCGACATTACCTGGAGAAAATATCCAAAGGACGCTAACATGACTTTTGATATTATAAGCTTGCTAATGTTGTGTGAATATAAGTGACTGAATACAACCACACGGGATGACAATTTTAAGTGCTATGGATCCCAAACTGTTCCATTCCTATGATGCTTAACAACAGAAGTTGAATGTTGAATGTTGAAATAACAATTGACACCCTCATCTGCGCTCTGTCCCCATCTTCAGCAGCAGGTGAGGAGTTCCAATTCCGATGGCACCAGTAACTGTCTGATTCTATATCTGTCTCGCCCTTTCCCTGAGTTGACAGCAAAAGTGGAAATTGACAACGATGACTTCAGAAATACACTAGAAATACTTCACCTAACTAGTATCATTACAATCTTCAGTAGCCCTCACAGTTAATGTCTTAATTAATGTGTCTCTTTGTAAGAATGAGCCACCATGATGTAGTTGGATGCTCACCTGTGGATCAGAAGGCCGTGGGTTCGGGTCCTGATGGAGCCAGACTTTTTTTCTTCTTCCAAAAATTATCTTGGCTCCTGTGTTGACTCAGCCTTGCGTGGGTACCAGGTACAGTCCTGGGAAGTAAAGGTGACCAGGGTGATGCTGATCACATCACTCATCGAGTGCAGATTGGTCTATTAATATAGATCTAGCCCTATATGCCTAACATGCCTAAAGGCATGGAAAAGGGTCCTTTACTTTGTAAGAATAATATCAGTACATAAATACTTTACATGACATAAGGTCAGCAGATGGCATGGTACCGGGAAGTAGGGGCAGGGGCCGACCAACATTAATAATGTTGGTCGGCCCTGGTACCATACAGTTTATAAGTGACTCCTTGAATATGAAAGTACACAAGGCGGGAGAGCTGGCGAGCGAGGAAGTTTTTTTCAGGCAGACCGTGATGAGAGCGACATTCTGCAAAGGACCTGCTACATAATGATGACATATAGCCAGTACACATACCATATATAGCTCTTCATATGTGAATACACCTTGTTAGTACACCATTAACTCTTTTGATTCCAGACAGCACATTGTGTATTATTAAATACTCACCATTAATCTAAATCTTCATAAAATGTGTTCTCTTGCTTCTTACTTTTGATCAGAAAATGCTCAGGAAATCTGGCTTCTTTAGTCATCATCATCATGAAGCAGGTTGATATGATCAGAATATTTCAGCTTCCGAGACTGGATGCTGTTTATTAGCTAATCTTTCTTGATGTTCAGTTCTTTCAAGATGTCAGTATTTCCCCTCTTCTTGATCATTCTGCTTCTTTAGTATCATCTTAAAGTTTTGCATGTAACTATATCAAAAAAAATGTGCTCATTTTCATTTGTCATAATGGTTACTACACCCATTGGGCACATCATTCTATGGCCAAAAAGAGTCAACAGTTTACAAAACTTGTGCCCATCGTAAGCTCATTCCCTGTTTGTACATATGGTTAATGAATCTTTCATGAATAATTGTGAAAACTGTACATAAATTATACCGTTATTTTCATATTGTGCATCTTTATCTAAGCAATACTATTATAATTCAACTGCCATGGGGTTATTGCCCTTACAAATGTTGTCAATATATTCATCATCGTCATCTACTTCAACTTGCATTAAAATCATGAGAATATTATTTTAACCTAAGAAATACAAGATTTACAACTTCAGCTGAAATATGGTGTCTTGTATCTGTATCTTCTTGTGCTTCTCCTTTTCTTCTTTTTCGTGTTTATTGACTGTAAACTCCTGTAGAAAATTCTGGTTATTCATCCACTTTAGAACTTTAGTCTTGTTCCAGAGCCTGAGTTTTGCATACACATCGATTTGATCGATTTGGCTTATTTGTATGCAGACTGTTGGTTCCTTATCTTTCAGGCAAATGCATAGCGACTTTGAAGGAAACCCCTAATTACAACTCTTACAACACACTAGTTAGGGAGTCAGTGGGTCTATCCACCTGCTAGCTCTCCCCCACCCCCTTCCCCCTTTCTAATAGGGCCATGGAACCCTTACAGGGATCCTTAAGCATAAAATCTTCATCAGTTTTATGAACTCTGTGGTCAAATTCTTAAAGGAATGTGAGTTTAAGATTGTTAAAAAAAATGTTAACTCTCTCATCCCAAGAAGCACAAAACCTGGCGCTTCCTGTTTATGTCATGACCCTATAAATATCCCTTTATTGGGTTGCTAGAGAGGCCCCCCCTATCCCCCGAGAAGCTCCACTATCAGAATTCTAAAAGGAATGTGAGTCTGAGATTGTTAAAAAAAATGTTAACTCTCTCATCCCAAGAAGCACAAAACCTGGTGCTTCCTGTTTATGTCATGACCACATAAATATGCCTTTATTGGATTGCTAGAGAGGGTTCTCCGCCCCCCCCCCCTCCCCGAGAAGCTCCAATATCAGAATTTCTTCCATTTTCCTGGGCAACTTGTTAGAACTTTTTGTATTTGTAGAAATTAGGACACCAGATTTTCCTGTTAGTTGCAGTGCTAACTCCAGCCGGGTCACAGGTCAAGAATGGGTTACACTAAACATCGTTTAAAGCTCAAAGAAATTTTACCAGTGTTGGGGATTC